CTGTCATTTGTCAAAATATCGTATGGATTGACGGAAACTTGTGGAGCGAAAGACGAAATGTTTGATTTGACAAGCAGTGGAATCGTCATAATATTTAAGTTCTCTATTTCTATCATGACAAACAAAATTTGATCATATGAACTTGTAAATATACATGCAATATGTATGGATTGGAGGGAACTTGTGACCGAAAAATGAAATCTTTGATTTTACAAATTCTGGGTTCGTGATAATATTTTAATTTCTACATCTATTATGACAAAAGAATTTGATCATATAAAATCACGTATTATGATAGTATTTTTTTTTTTGTTATGGAGTTTTGTGCTAATTTTGACTGACACAAACTAGTGGTGGGAAGCATAAAATGTATCCCGTGACAAAATACTAAGTTTGTTCCAATATATGCTATTTGATCTTGAGGCCGACAAATGAGTTTGTTTTAATACTTGATAATTTCATATATTAAAAACCCTAAACCATGACAAAAAGTAAAAAACCCTAAAGTAAGACAAAAAAAAATAATCTTGTTCTTGTGACTTTAAGCTTGGTTTTCTGTCCTCGAATGGAAATCACAAGGATCTCACTTGGCGCATACACATGATTTTTTATTTGGGGTGTATTGAAGAAGGTATTATATATTAGCACTTCTACTATGTTTTAAAGTATTGGGGCTTTAAAGTACAACTTTAACTTACGTTGTACCATAACGTTAAAAGTATAAATTAAAGTTGTACCATTTGTTACTTTAAGCTTGGTTTTCTGTCCTTGAATGGAAATCACAAGGATCTCACCTGGCGCATACACATGATTTTCTATTTGGGGTGTATTGAAGAGGGTTTTATATATTAGCACTTCTACTATGTTTTAAAGCATTGGGCTTTAAAGTACAACTTTCACTTACGTTGTACTATAACGTTAAAAGTACAAATTAAAGTTGTACCATTTGAGAATTTGTACCTTTATGTTATGGTACAACTTCAAATTGTACCATAACATAATTACAATTTTAGTTTGTACCATAAAGAGAATTATACAAAAGAGTATATGTACAACCTTAAGTTGTCCAATAACCTTAAATGTACAACTTCAAGTTGTACTATAAAGACAAAAATGAAAGCACCAATGCTTTAAAGCATTGTAAATTCCTCGTTATATATACCTCTCAAGTCTCAACCCAAACATAAGCTTTATCCTACTAAACTATAGCAAAGTTGGTCTCTCTTTGCTTAGTGACATAGTTAACACACAGTGTTAGTCAACTTTGTAAATTAGTGTGTTCTTTACTTTTTTACATTGCCGATTGTTTTATCATAGTAAACTATAGTGAAGTTGGTATCTCTTTGCTCGGTGACGTAGTTAACACACAGTGCTAGTGAACCATTATGTGTTCTTTACTTTTTTACATTGTCGATTTCTCGTTCCATTATAACAACCCTAACCATAAACTTTCAATTCTAAATCCTAAATCATGAATGGTAAAAGGAATCTTACTCTACAAGAAAATTGTCGTTTCGCATCAATTTTGTTGTGTTCGTTCAGCTAACCAACAACAAATCTCTATTTTCCGTCGTTGTACTATTGAATCAAATTTTGGTAATTTTGTATTGGTTTTGTTAAAATTTAAAAATGACACAAGTTCTAGTTTTGGAGGAATAAATTTGAATTTTGTATTGATTTCCCTCTCAAAATTTCAGGGTTAATTACAAGTTTGGTCATTGGATTTACAAAAAAGGTTCATGTTTGGTCACCAGAAATATTTAATTCCATTTGTGGTCACTAAAATTAGTTCAATAGTTTGATTTTGGTCACTCTCCGTCCAACTCCGTTAACTTTTGCTGATGCGGTGGTCAACTCTTGTAGTTGACCGTTAAATGAGTGATGTGACAATTAAAAATAATAAAATAAATAAAAAATAATATTATACTATTTCCATATTATTTATATAATACACTAAAATAAATAAAACATAAATAATAATTACTATACCAAAATTGATATTTTACCCTATCCGGAGAACCCCTCCCGGAACCTACTCCTCCCTCAGAAACACCTGTCGACTGCAATTCCTTCACTTAACAAAACTCAAAATCCATGAGAAACCCGCCAGAACTCTCCTCCACTATATCTCATCCCTACCTCAACCCTACACACTAATTCATTATTACAATATTATAGTAATTCATTCACTATCTGTTTCCCCTGTTTCCCTTTGGTTTTCCCAATTTCAAAATAACAAATTCTCTTAGTGACAAATACAGAGTCAAGCTCTGCCACTTCCACCATTCCCCCAACCTTACTATAATCAAACCTTCCACCTTCTTCTTCTTCTTCTTCTTCTTCTTCTTCTTCCCCTTTTAATGGATCGACCTTCTTCATACTCATAAACCTTTCGCCTCTTGTGACATCCACCATAAAAAATGGCAACTCCCCTGCCTCTCTTCTCTCAAACTCCGGCATCCAAACCTCCCCAACAATCCACCCACTTTCCGGCCACTTCCGCTTCCAACGCTCCACCACCGCTGTCTCTTCTCTTCTCTTCTCATAGACCCGCCGCGAAAATCCACCGCACCAGAATTTAGAGCAGCAGCAAGTTCGGGTCCTTCCTTCACCTAGGACCAGAGCCTGTACCAGAACCCATCATATTCCCGGTACTCTCCCGGCATGACCAAACATCTTTTCCCCGATCCTCGCAATTCAACGTCATCATCATCAACACCGGTCTCCTCTTCATCGCTTTCCTTCTGGTTGTGGAAATTGGGAGAGAGGAGGGGGAGGGATGAGGGTGAATTAGTGCATATAGGAGAGTTCCGGCGGGGTGTCTTTGGGAGTTTGGGTTTTAAAAAGTGGAGGTATTGCGCCCGGTGAGGGTTTCAAAGGGAGGAGGACGTTTTGGCTCGCTTTGACCTCATGAGATGTCTTAAGATAGTGACTAGCGAGCCAACTCTACCGGCTTATGAACAAATCGATATATATCTTATGAATTGGTTTGTTGATAATTCATTAGTTCACTAAATTATACATCTTACCTCATATAATGTTTAAGAGTTTGAGTATATGAGAAAAATATGTAACATTTATAATTTAAAAGAAAATTAATATATCATTGATTGTTCATATACTAATTACTATTAAAGACATATATGAATTAGTTAAAATTTATGAGGGTCTGTTTTCCGGCGAGAAAACTTGCGTTGAAATTGAGATCAATGCGCCTTCGACTTCTTTGGGCAACGATTACTAAGACACGGCTCACACCTCTTCAACCAAAGTTCAAACGAGGGAGCTCCAAACTAAAAACTACATCTATGGCTACATGATAGAGAAAAGAAAAAGGATAAACTCGACATGTGTGTCAAATGGTTGGTTGTGGAACCCCTATCTCTGTCGACCCCTCCTCCTATTTATAGATAACGAGGAGGTAATCGCGGTAGAAAACCGTTTCTTGGATAACTGCTACAAAGAACCGCTCCCTCTTCTCCAGAACGTGACTGACGTGTCCCTTGAACATGGGATGAGTAGTAGTTCCTCTCTCAACTGCCTTGGTATTTCTCTTGAAATCGTCGTGGGTTTTGGAGTGTAGCTTGACTCGCCAGGTCTTGCTAGTCTTTTGATGAGCATGTGGTGTCTCACAAAGGGGTTATGATCCTCTTGCCTCATAACCATGGACTTCTTACTCATGTCCATGGGCCCTCTTAGGACTTAGTCACTAGTGATATAATTCTCCACCACCAACGCCCTTCTCATTCGTGTCCATGGCCCCTCTCGTGAGGTGGCATGGCCTTCCCATACTTAGTATTTTCAATCGTGTCTAATGCTTCTTGCTTTGCGTCCATGGCCATCACATGACACGGCCATGGACCTCTTAATCATGCACATGGCTCTTCTCGTGAAGCGGCATGGCCTTCTCAGACTTAGAATATTTTCAGTCATGAGGCGACATGAACCTCTCAATCATGCACATGGCCCCTCTCGTGAGGTGGCATGGCCTTCACATACTTAGTATTTTCAATCGTGTCTAATGCTTCTTGCTTTGCGTCCATGGCCATCACATGACACGGCCATGGACCTCTTAATCATGCACATGACCCTTCTCGTGAAGCGGCATGACCTTCTCAGACTTAGAATATTTGCAGTCATGCCTAAGCCTATTGTCTCGCATCTATGGCCCTTCTCCGAAGCGGCATGGACCTCCCAGACTTATAATATTTTGGGTCATTCGTGACACGACATTGGTCCTCTCATACTTAAGCATTATTCAATCGTGCCTAGGGCTCTTGTCATGTCCTTCTCGAGACTTAGAATATTTTTGACCATACCGAGGTCTTCCTTGAGATGGCATGTGCTTCTAAATTCTAGATGGACATGGCCCTTCTAGTTGAAGAAGCACGTGCCTCTAGATTTTAGACGGACATTACCCTCTTCGTTGATGAGGCATGTCCCTCTCCAGACTTGGTGTCTTGAGCTTAAATTCAATATCCATAAGACCCAACTTAAACAACATTAATTGTTATAATGGGTGTGACCTTATAAACTCATTAATTATCTTGTAACTCACCAATGTGGTACAAGACAAACTTTATGGTGTAAAAACGGTCATATGTTAGTCGGGTAACAAGTCAATAAAATTATTAGTCATTCAAGTTGTGGTTCGAGCACGTTCAACCGACTCTGGGTATGGACAGGTCATGAAACCGGTTAGCTGGACTATTTGCTCAGGTCACTTTGTATTTTGGCAATTCTAGTTACACCCAAAGGCTCGAGTTTTACTCAACTTGTTACTGGATTCCTTCTAAATCCTCTGCTTAACATTAAAGGTGGTTGTTTTTCAGCAGCAACGCGCGAACCGTTCCCGTAAAACAGTGCTTACCAAGTTACCATCGAGTTGAACCCTCTTTAGTTTTTGGTTATCTATTCGATTGCTGAAAGTAGACCAAACGTAAAGTGGTCCACATCATCTTATACCTGGCGACCAGATTGAGCCAAACTCATCTACAAGAAGCAATATCACATTTTTACTCCCCAATCATATTTCACAAAACAATCATGTGTACAAGTCAACTTCAATGCCTCTTCTTCTACCTCTCTATCTCTGCGTTTTCCGATCATTGATCTTTCCACACCGAGCACTTTGCAGTCCCCAGGAGAGATACAGGAAGAAACTCTTCAGTCTTCTCCTATGCAGTTCCACATTCAGATTTACCCCAGGCTTCTCCCGTTTTCCAGAATACAAAATGGGAAGCCCACAATCCCTCTACTACTGCGGGTAAACTTGTTACACTATCATCTTTGCCTTGCACTCTCGAAGGACACGACTCATGTAAATGCCGTGTCTGACTTCCTGCTGACCTAATCGGAGGGAGGCAATGGACTTTCAAAACAGCTATATGGTAGGCTCCTCCCGCTTCGATCTGTGTTGATTAAGAATAAATCTACACGTATCACATCCGAAAATGCTATCAACTTCTTCGCACACGTGTAACTATATACCGTCCTTTCTCTAGATCATAAATCGTCTTCAACTGAGGCTTCCTCCATTTTGACACCGACCACGCTGCAAACATGAACAATGCAGCAATGGCAACTAACGATAATAATGTGGGTGAATCATCGCCAATAACGGTGGAGATCCAGCTAGGGTGTTGCATATCCTGTGAAGAACTGGTCAGCAAGATGAAAGCTCCAAGTGCCCAATCAAGAGGGATATTCCCAACATGATTGCCATACCCAATCCTGTTACAAGCACATTTAGACATTTATGGATGAGGGTTATTCGAAGGAACAGGACCTCCCAAATTATATCCGACAAAGAACTCGAATGGAAAGATGGTAAATTTTACCGTTCATCATCCAAAGAAATCCCAAGGCTGTCGTGAAGTAGGGCAACAATATATGCAGAAGAGAAGCAATAGCGCATCAGATCATCATCTTTGAGAGATAATGATTTATGCTTCTTTTTCAAACTTGACCAATCCTCTCCACAAAATTGTTTTCCAGCTCCCATAAGATCAGAGAGAAAAGCTTTTTGACTCAACCCAAAGAACTGAAGAGCCAAAAGAGATACAAACAGTCAAAACATAGATTTGTCATGAAGGTGATTATAAACCGAAATCAGAGAATGGACAACCAACAATAACAGAGAGCTTTGGGGGTATCAAATAGACACCTTTTTAAATAAAATTAAATAAAAAAGAGGAATGGCCAACCTTAGATGTATAGAAGAAATTCTCCGTTGCCAAAAATTTCCCCTGAAGCTTCGGTATGAATGTTGGTCCTATAGAGCAGTGTTGGTAGGCACATTTCTCTATGTCCAAAATAATAAAGTGTTGATCAGATAAAACAAAATACACATAAATGCTATATCGCAAAGAGGCCATAGAAAGTGTAATAAGAAAGTCTGTGTAATAGCTCAGTTACCTTTTCCTTTCTGTAACAGTGATAATGCAGCCGACCTGCACTCAGAGAAGTTGCCCTTAGGCTGAAGGTTTGACAGGAGACGATCCTTATTTTCAGTGAAAGAACCAGGAGAGGAACTTCCCGCCGCCATGACATGTGAATACCCCATGGGAGTACAAGGATCTAAACTTACTCCTCCCTTTTCAATCGACTTAGCAGCTGTATTTGTTAGGATGGGTGTCAGATTTCTAGAAACGCACAAGTGTTTAATCATAAATAGCATAGCAGGACAAACGATTCATATTTAGCAGTCCACAAACAGTAGAGCCACCATTGGAACATGCTGCAGATTGGGCTCCCTGTTAGATAACTTATACAGTGACCGAGAGAATGATACATTGGCATCACATAGTGATTATCAATACAAATTTCAATATGTTCTATATGTAGAACCTGGAAAGAAGAAAACTTCATCCTTACATGATTGATGGTCTGCTGAGGCTAGCGATTCCCTCAATGCATCAAATGCAGCATTCTGGTAGATGGAAAATATATAAGGTTTAGGCCACATGTAAATGCTCCTTCCTTTTCTCATCAATAGAACCATTTGGGACATTACAAATTAGAAAAAACGAAATTTGGATGCAGAAAATATGACAGATTACCTGACCAAACTGAAGAAAGCTGTGGCTGTAGATATTATATGTTACATTCCCGAACTTGACAGTCCGCGAGAACTCAGGAGGCAATGGCTCATTTGAAACAAAAGTTACCTGTACCACCAAAATATCCACCAATTTCACACATCACCTCGTATTTCCTCTTAGAAGCTTTAGAATAGAAAAGCACATTGTCCACTCAACCCCTAGCATTACAACAAACTCATGCATTCTAATTTTGTAATATACTTTCACCATATTTGTCTTTTCAAGTCACCATAATAACATCTAGCCATAAGATATTGTCTGATTCAGCAACAAAACTACTATCCTAGAAGTGTTTATAGCTGGTTACATTTTTCTCTATACCAAGTCGAAGCTAGTAGCATACCATTGACGACACAATTAATTCGGAAAACTCTATACTGTGAAGTCATTGACCAAACCAGAATGTAAAAGAACGATTCGGGATACAAAGTGATCAAGAAGAACAATAGAGTGATGACATTAGGAATAGGAAACCATGCCTGAGCAGAAGCTCCACCAAGCTCAATAATACCGGTTGTCTTGAGAGGGTCTGCTCCAAGAGTACCCGAAGCATAGTTGGCAACAATCCAAGCATAAACACCCTCATCAGAACCTTCACAAGAAAAAGAAAAACCAATGCACCCTTCATTAAATCTCAAACCTTCACTCCCAAATCCAAGACTCTGAAGAACCAAGTCCCAGACACAAAGCCATCACCACCAGGCAACTTACCAGTAATAACAGAAGCCCATTCATCCAAAAACGCGAACCCAGATTGCCTCAGAACCCTTCTACACGATTCCAGAATCCTGCGTTGCACATCAACGTCCAGCAACCTCATCCCAGCAGTAGCCATCAACCGAATTTCAGTATCGCCCCACAGCCCCCTCGGCACCCTCTCTTTCCCAAACTCAAGCAGCTCGTTCAAAGACGCGCCAGCTGATTCTGGGTCCTCGGCATACGCCGACAATCCGGGGGTAACCCTCATCGCCGCCTCCTCCCCAAAATCGAACACCGCCTTCCCGTCCTGAAACCTGTAAGCGAACACGTGGAGCCGCGTCCCGGTGCTGCCGCCGTCGATAACAATCCCGTACCTCTTGTTCCAATCCACAACCTGACCGGTGCTGAATAGGTAAAAACACGAGATTAGAGCGACGAGGGCGAGGACACACCCGAAAACGATGAGGTTGGACTTGGATCGCTTGGCGGGTCGAGAAATCGGGTAATAGGCGAAGTTGGTGGCGGATCGGTACCCGGCTGGTCCGGGTCGCTGTTGGGACTTGACGGGATCCATTCCGTTGTGGCTAGTATCGGTGTCAACGGACTTCGAATTGACCCGATTGCGCAGTTGGAATGATCGCATCAAAGAGAGGGGGAAATGGGTAATCGGGGAAACATACGAGAAAGCAGAGGCGTCGATGAATCGGAAGAGGAGATTGTCACGCGAGCGGCGGCGGTGGAGGAGGAGAGGGAGAGGGCAATCATGCAATGGACGGGGAAGGATTGGAAGTCGGAAGAGGAGCCCTCTCTCACTCTCTCTCTGCCGGAGGGGGGAACTTCCGGCAGAAGGGTCTCTGGTGGCGGAGGAGTTTCGAATCGAATGTCACCCTTTTCCTCGGAGGTGACGAGACGAGACGAGACGAGACGAGACGACGGTGAGAAAAAAAAAAAAAGTAAATCCGAAAGGGAGAAAAAGGGCTGAAACGAATAGTGACGGAGGAGACGAAATTGCGGGGAATTCTGTTTACAGGATGTGTGGATGGATGCCAAACGGCAGCCGCACTGCTTTGCGCGACTTTCACGGGGGTTATATTTATAAACCAGTCATGCTAATCAATGCTCAACGCACGTTTAATCCACAATACTTTCCTTATGAACAAATAAGTCATTTACAAAAATATTGTAGGTCATTTGGATTAGCTGAATTAATATAATTCTTTACCGCTAAAAGTCTAGTAAAGTTACCTAGTAATAATATTAGAAGCAAATGCATAACGTTTCTCTCGTTTAGCGAGATTTATCGGAGCGGCGGAAACCCTGGGTTTTCCGGAGTCCCTAGTCGATTAACGTAGCTGTTTTCAGCTCGAAGAAGGTTAACGGGGTCAAAAGGTCTCTTTTGCCTTTGTCAACGACGGTTCCTGCTTACACTTTAGGAGAAGGTTTTCTGATCGCGATTGATTGTAGCGTGCATAAGAAGGAAAGTTTTTCTAAGCGCTTCTCTTGAAGAGAGAGTTGAAAACGGTGACCGAGAAGAAACAAGCCATGGATACAGGAGAGCTTGAACGGGAGCCAGAACTCCAGAGCACTGCGGAAAGTCTGGAAGTGCAACTGGACCACATCACACTGGAGGATGAAGATGACACACCCCTTGAAGTTGAAGATGAAGATGTGGACGCCTTTCGAATGGAAGCGGTCCGCCGATTGGGCGTCTTGTAGCTGAAAAATCACCAAACATCAAGTCACTTAAGATTGCTTTGGCTTGGAACCTGAAGAAAAATTTTCAGATCACTAAGTTAGGTGATATGCTTTACGCGTGCCAATTCTTAGAGGAAGGCGATAGAGATAGGGTCTGCTTTGGGGGACCCTGGCATTATGAAAATAATGCAATGGTGTTTATGGCTAGCCTACTGATCAAGAAACCTACGCCATAAGCATTGCACATGCTGGACATTTGGATCCAGATTAAAGAGATGCCGGCAGAGCTTAGAAACAAAACCAATGGCAGAGAAGATAGCTAACAGGTTTGGTTCTTTAATCTGGTTCGATGATAGCCCTAGATCTATGTGGGACTCATAAATGAGATTGAGGGTGAGTTTATCCATCAACAACCCCCTAAGAAAGAAGATTAAGCTAAACATCAAAGGGCAACTAGTTGAATACCCTGTTAGGTATGAGAAGTTACCCATATTCTGCTACTCCTGTGGACGAATTGGACACCCGAAACTGCGCTGTCCGAAGCCATCAGGAATGAGCCCAGACCCTTTTGGGATGGAGTTGAGAGCTAGAGCGCCAGGAGCTAGAAGCTGGCTTTCACACTCCCTAAAGAAAGAAGAAGAGACTATATTGGCTTCTTTGCGGAAGAAATTTGATTGGGAAAGCACAGGTTCCAACTCGGACCATGAAGTACCCCCTGCAGAAGAAATAGCGGATAAACAAGTCATCCCAGAGATGGAGGAACAGAAGGAGAAAGATCCAAAAAATAATGGGAAAATGACAGAACCTGAAGAAGGTCACGGCGCAGAGAAGAAAAACCAAATTCAGATCCAAAGGGCTTATGCCAATACACCAAAAAAACCCACATCTAGGGCAAATGGGAGTTGCCCTACAACAATTTGTGATGGGAACTGCTGAAATGGAACCCCAGCCACGAAACAGGGGTAAGGTGTGGCGCAGACAGGAACAAAACACACCAAGAGAGTTAATCCCTGCACAGGTTACACCACAAAAAAGAAATGTTCAGAGTGCAGGAGGAGATGGTATGCTGGATGAAACAGTTGCAAAACAGATAAAGAAAGTAAAAAAGCTGAGTTTTCAGATCCGGGAAGAGCCAGCTTCAAAACAGAACATAGAAAATGAAAAGGGTGGCGATATGGCGGACTCTGCCAAGGAGCAGAGCCGCCCAGCTCAATGAGTCTTTTGAGCTACAACTGTCGAGGCCTCGGGAATACCCCGACAGTTGAAAAAGTGAAGGCGTTGTTACGCCAAACCAATCCCGACGTGGTTTTTTTATGGAGACTAAGCAGTATGAGGATGAATGGAAAAAGAAAATAAAAGAGTTCGGGTTTTATGATGGTAGAGGAGTGGCAGCTGGAACTAACAGGGCATGAGGGCTCTTGTTGATGTGGAAAGAAGAGGTACAAGTGGAGGTGAAGGGGCGAGATCTCCACTTTATTGACTCTAAAGTTAGAATGCCAGGTTGCAACATTGATTGGCGGTTCACAGGGGTGTATGGATGGCCTGAAACAAGTAATAAGAAGAAAACCTGTGAATCACTCAAAAGGCTTCACCAACAAGTCCAGCTACCTTGGTTGGTAATGGGGGATTTCAACCTCATTACTGACTATCTGGAGAAGAGGGGTAATCGAGACCCAGATTTGAGAGAGATGGAAATGTTTAGGGATACTTTGGAGCTTTGTCGATTGGAGGATTGTGGTTACTATGGGAGAACCTTCACTTGGGAGAATAATCGAGCTGACCAAGATTATATTGAGGAGAGACTGGACAGGGCAGTGGGAAACATAGAGTGGAAGGAGTGCTATCCTAATATGCATGTCTATCATTTAGAGAGATGTGGCTCTGACCATATACCAATTCAGATGAAATTAGATCTCGAAGAAGTTGATATTACTTGGGGGTGATCTTTCCGCTATGAGCCTTATTCGGAGAGGCATGAGGACTGCTCAAAAGTTATTGCAGAAGCGTGGCACCAGCAAGGGGAAGTCAGTTCTATGGATCAAATTTTAAAAATGTGAGGATAAATTGCTCTCATGGAGTAAAGAAGTATTTGGCTCGCTGAAACAGAGGAGAAAAAAGGCTGAGAAAGCCCTTCAAGCCCTGGAATAGAGGAAAAGAACAAAAGAGACATTACAACAGAAAAGAATAATCGAGCAGGAGCTCAATGATGTAATCCTCCAAGAGGAAATGAAATGGAAGCAACGATCCCGAGCAGATTGGTTGAAGGAAGGGGACTTGAATACTTGATACTTCCACAGGAAAGCCTCGGAAAGAAGAAGAAAAAACACGATTAGGAGGTTACAGGATGAATCAGGCCAGACATTTGTAGGCGAGCAAGAGGTATCTAACTTTCTAGTTGGATATATGAAAAATCTGTTCGCCAAAGGCAGAAGAGGGGAAAGGAGTAAGATTCTGCATTTGGTGACCCCTAAGGTTACTGCAGAGATGAATCAATACCTCCTGGAACCCTTTACTGAGGATGAAATAAGGATGGCTTTAAAGAGAATGGGTCCCAATAAAGCACCTGGACCAGATGGGATGTCAGCGAGATTTTTCCAAAGGCACTGGAAAGCTGTTGGGGACACTGTCCTAAGGGAGCTTCAATCATATCTGGAATTGGGGGAGTTTCCCCAGCAGCTTAACAACACACTCATAGCGCTGATACTGAAGAAGAAAAAACCTATAAATCCCTTGGAATTCAGGCCTATAAGCCTTTGCAATGTACTCTACAAGATCCTTTCAAAAGTACTTGCAAACTGACTAAAAAGAGTACTCAACTCAGTTACAGGGGAAGAACAGAGCGCCTTTGTCCCAGGAAGATACATTACAGATAATATCTTGGTGGCTTTTGAGTGCTTTCACACCATGAAGCAAAAGACTCGTGCCGAGAAAGGATTTATGGCTGCCAAACTGGATATATCTAAGGCTTATGATAGGGTGGAGTGGGAATTCCTAGAAGCTAGGATTTGCGGAAAGATGGGTGAAGATGATTATGTATTGCATCACCACAATTTCCTATCAGATTTTGGTTAATTGCCATCGCTCGGAGGAGTTTAAACCTGAAAGAGGTATGAGGCAGGGTGGCCCACTATCACCTTACCTCTTCTTATTTTGCGTGGAGGGCCTATCAACCCTGCTAAAAAAAGCAGTGGAGGGAGGGACAATTCATGGTATTAAAGCCTCAGTTAGAGGACCAGCTATCTCTCATATGCTTTTTGCTAATGACAGTGTGATTTTCACACAAGCAACAGCCCAGGAGAGTAAGGAGTTACAGAAAATATTGCGAGACTACGAGGAAGAATCGGGTCAAGTGGTCAATTTCACCAAATCAGAGCTTACTTTCAGTCCGAGTGTCCCAAAGGAGAAGAAGGAGGAGTTATCTGGCATTTTGGGTATGAAGCAGGTGGATTCACATAAGAAATACTTGGGGATTCCCACAGTTATTGGACGTGAGAAAAAAGCTATATTCCAGAACTTGGTGGACAGAGTCAGGAAGAAGATTAAACACTGGAAAGGCCAGACACTCTCAGTGGCGGCAAAAGAGGTTCTTATCAAGTCAGTGGCCCAATCACAGGAAACTTATTCTATGTCGGTTTTCTTGATACCAGACAGTGTTATTCAAGAGTTGAGAAAGGGAATATCTAGCTTCTGGTGGGGCCAGCAGAAAGAGGAGAAAAGGATCACTTGGATAGCTTGGAACAAACTGTGTCAAGCAAAGTCGAAAGGGGGAATGGGTTTTCGAGAGCTACATGCTTTCAATATTGCTTTGCTAGGGAAACAAGTCTGGAACTTGCTTAACAATCCAGAATCTTTGGCAGGAAGAGTGCTGAAAGCCAAGCATTTCCCTAATTTGACTATTCTGCAAGCTCAACTAGGGAACAACCCAAGCTACACTTGGAGGAGTATAATGGCTGCTCAAGGTTTAGTCAAGGAGGGGGTCCGATGGAGAGTAGAGAATGGTTTTGAGATCAACATTTGGACAGATAGATGGGTGGCAGGGGCTGAAGAGAATGATTATCAAGTTTCTTCCCCCAAGCCTCAAGCGGGAGGATTGACTAGAGTTATGGATCTTATTGATCATGAATAGAGAGTGTGGAGATGGAATATGCTCCATAGCAGCTTTACAGTGGAGGATTGCGCAAGAATTGTAGCTATTCCTATACCCAGGCAGCCAGCGAAGGATGACTTAGTGTGGAGTGCTGAAAAGAAGGGCGATTACACTGTGAAATCGGCTTATGCCTTGTTAACCACAAGAGGGTTAAACTCTCAGAATCCGACGCTGACTGATGAAGAAGGGGAAGGACTGAGGGGGGAGGAGAATGTGGAAATTTATGATCCTATGGACTGGAACAGATTATGGAAACTAATGATCCCACCTAAAGTGAAGATATTCCTCTGGAGGGTAGCTCATGAAATTCTCCCAACGGGAAAGAACATTGAGCGAAAGAAGAAAGAAGCGGCGACTGAGTGCCCGTTTTGCAATTTGGAAGAAACTCAAAACCATATTTTCAGAGAGTGCCAGTGGGCATATCGGATCTGGAGGCCTACAATCTACAGGAACCTTTTCGAGATCGAGCCTACTCTATCATCGGGAAGTTGGCTTTGTGAGGTATTGGAGAAAGCTGATGATGAAACTTTGGAGAAGTTGGGTTTGATTTTATGGTCGATCTGGAATGAAAGAAACAATCAAATGTTCAATAAACCGAAGGCGGAGGAATGGGCGATAATAGGGAAGGCTTTAGACTACTGGGCGGAGTACAAATCCTACCATTCAAAGGAACAAGAAACAAAATCGGTTGCGAATTGTACCTGGGAGAAGCCGCCAGAAGGATGGGTGAAGGTGAATGTGGATGCTGCGGTGATGGCGGTGGAAGGAACAGGACTGGGGCTGGCGGTTCGCGATGAGAATGGAAAATTTCTGCTGGCGGTGGTTCGGCGGGAGAGAAGACAATGGCCGCCGGAAATCGCTGAACTCCGGGCAATGGAGAACAGGAAACGAACCGGCCCACTCAATGGCCCACTCAAACTGTAATTGGGATCCTCTGAATCTTGGGCTCTTAGTCCCCCTATGTTTCTCCTTTCTCAGCTAGAGAAGGATAATTCAACTACTTAATAAAAGCAGGTTTATGGTAAAAAAAAAAAGTCTAGTAAAGTTGTCCAAAAATAATATGGAAATTAACATGTGATTATTTTTCAAATGTCACATTTGTGAGAATTAGATAATCCACATCGAGGATTTTCTTTTATTTTTAGTAGAAATTTTGTGAGAGTTTTCAATTCTCATATTTTGTATCAAAATTTCACATTTGTAGAATTGGGACTTAGGTAATCAAATTGGGGAGCGGAGCAAGAGAGTCTATTCTTAGGTAAAAAGCAAGTAAGAGACATTATATTTTCCTATTTACTTTTTGAGTTAATACCTTAAAATATTCAAATTTTGACCAATTTGGCCATTATTTTCATATATTTCAATTATGGTCTAGATTAATGTCCATATAAACTATTTTGGCTTAACTCGAAGGTTGACCGCTTAGTTGGATGGTCAACACCATTGACTAACGGTTAACGAGTCAAGTCATCATAAAGAAATTGTTCTCATGATCTAATACCTAAGATCAGGGTTGTTTGATTGACACGAGCACGAAACACGTGTGCGTAGTTATCGCAGGTGCACAACCAATAACAGGAATAAAGTCAATGGATAATGCGTAATTGAAGTGCAATCCCACATCTGGGACAAGGCTCTATCAATATAGTGTAGAAGGTTGACCACAATCTAAAGGAATACTTGATTGATACAAAAGCACAATTCACAAGCAAACGGTCTATCCACCAAGAGTAAAATCAGTATTCTTCAATGTCTATTAAAATTTGTCACAAAACTTGAGCCTAAGCATTTAATTAGGCCAATGAAAAAAAAAAACTAATCAAAAATCCGAAAAGGAAAATAATCCTAATTGAAAAAGATAACTTTAATCCGCCAGCGCCCGATTTCCAGTCTTGTCCTTCTATTCCACGGACGTGGAATGGTCATCCTTGGTTGGGGAAATCTCCTGTTCCAATCCCCAATCTAACCTTTTGTTCCACAATCATTGATTTGGTGGCCGTGGTCAGGGAATCCCTCTGTTCATCATCGTCGGCCAGAGTTCATGTTGGCATGGTCGGGAATCACATCAGACCCTCCCTGATAAAGAAGTTTTCCCCCCAAAACTTGAGTAAAACACAATGTGTTATACTCCCATTCGAACTCAATCAGTCAACAAAACTCACAATCAAGGTTGTCAAACCAATTTGGCTCATTAGCCCGGTTGAACAAGTGGGTTAAAGATTAATGGTCGGATCATTTTAGCCCGACTTAACTTGGTAACCCACATATTAAAAAAATATTCAAATATTATAATAATTTTATAATCTAATGATTAAAATGTAATTTATTATAAATACCATATAATAATTTAGCATTAACCCTACAGGCCTACATAACCTTATGATACCAAAAAAATCCGTAGAACTACCTACTAACCCTCACGGCCTCACACCACACCTAAACAATAAACCTATCCTTCCTCTCCTTACAGCCGTCGCCTCAACAAAAACTCCCCCATTCCAGTAAAAATCACTTTTTCTTCTTTTGCCTGACAACTTCGATGGTCGCTACTCCAAGCTCTTCCACTCAATTTCATTACCCCTCAAACAAAGCCCAACATGCGTTCCAAAGCCGACGATCTGCCACCGCCCTACCGATTTTAATTAGAATAGTAGAACCTATCTCGCAACTCATGCGATGGCGAGAAGACCACCACATCGTTTCACTCCACCTCACTTCACAGCCCCGTCGCCTCCAAACGTCGGCCACCACTCCCGAGAGTCCTCCTCCACGAGGTTCTCTGGCTCACTCAAGCATAGATATGTGAAGATCTTCAACGCTGCTCAAGAGATGGCGCGGGATACGGTGACAACCCTTTTTAGGTTGGTTATTTTCACAACCCATTCTATCCACCGATAGATTCATTCTCTTTCATAATTTTTAAATTGATGAATGAGATTGATACAATGATATTTTTGAACGAAAAAAATATGCCACATGGGATTACAAGCCATATTAATTTCAATATTATTCTCCTCTCTCTAAAAACCCTAATTAAGATTTTCATATCATTCACCCTCTCTCTGCCGTCGCTACCAGCACCAGTTCTCCCTTCTTCTTCTTCCTCCCATCTCGTCAACTCCTCTCACCGTCGCTGCCTTTCTCCTGCCGCTCTCCTCTCGCCGTCACCTATTCACGCCGTCGCATCCACAACACCAGTCTTGCGACGCCTCTGCCCTTACCGGCTGCCACCCCCGGCCTCTTCACGTTGTTGTCTTCGCCCTTGCCGCTGCCGTCTCGCGACGTTCTTCGCCCCTGCCTCAAAGTCACCCTCTTTGCCCCTGACGCGAGGTCACCGACTCCCCCTTTCCTCATCCCCCCATTTTTTTTTGCAGACATGAGTTTTTTCATATTCCATATCTGTTTTTTGTTTTTGTTTTAGAATAGTGGTACTGATTTGGAGTGGTACTCATATGGTAGCAGGTAGTGGTAGCGTACAACTACGCTACCACTATCATCTGGCGCTACCAGATGGTAGGTACCACTAAGATCTAGCGCTACCAGATGGTATTGGTAGCGTTGTACTGGAAATGGTAGTAGTGGCAGCGTACCACTAACACACTAACAGAGTGGTAATTTTTTGCAGGTGGTCGGAGCGAGTGTAATTCAAGTATTTTGCCGGAGAAAGTATGTCGGTCGGAAAAAGGAAGAGAGTTGTATTTATTGTAGGATTTAAATTTTAAAAAAGCATGTATTTAATATGGGTTTTAATTCCCAATCTATAATTAATACAAAAAATTTTATTAATAAAATTATTTTTTTGACATACCCAAAATGCCATTGATTGTGAATCTCACAACCCCCTTAGGGGAAGTGACCGTATCCCACCCCGATGGCGGGCATAAAAATGGAAAACTGTGAACGATGACATCAAAGTCCCAACCCGGTATCCGTTCAGGCTGGACCAATCGCCTGGGTCTGCAGAATTGACAAGATCAATTCTCCTTCCACCAGGATCGATACAGTAGGTTTGTATTGTTTGATTCTCGTTCCCTAAGGTAGTGGGATTTCTTCTTTTGACAAAGAATCCTCCTCTCAAATTTGGTTTGCTATGGGGTGTTTGGGTCTCGTACGAGAAGCAACATGCCCTCTTGACTTCGTTCTAGCCAATGTGTTGAAATGGAGCTCTGATACCACTTGATACGAGAATGGAACCGGTGAGCATAGTTATCAAATTCGCATAACGAAGAACAAGAATAAAAAACTAGGGATAAGGCGGAATTGAAGTGTAATCTCACACCTGGGAGAAGGCTCTATCAATATAGGGCAAAAGCTTGACCATAATCAAAGAGAATACTTGATTGATACAAAAGCACAATTCACAAGTAAACACTCTATGGACCAAGAGTAAAATTAATATTCTTCAATTTTTATCAAAATATGTCACAAAACTCGAGTCTATGCTTTTAAATAGGCTAAAGCAATGCAGTCAAAAGCGCGAATCTATCTAGAAGCGGTCGGGTGATCTAAAAGCGTAAAATCGTAAGCTTTTAAGTTTTAAAACGTCGATTTTGACTACATTTGTAAGGGAAAATCATGATTCTACGTAGAAACATTTTGGTGACCAAAAAGGTAAAAGCGTAAGTTTTTAAGTTTTAAAGCGCCATTTTGACTGCATTGGGCTAAAGAAACAAAAACTAATCAAAACCCCAAAAAGGAAAAGAATCCTAATTGAAAAAGGTAATTTTAATCTGTCTCTGCCTGATCCCTGGTCTTGTCCTTCTATTCCACGGTCGTGGAATGGTCATCTTTAGCATGGGAACTCTCCTATTCTAATCCCCTATCTAACCTTTGTTCACAGTCGTGGATTTGGTGGTCGTGGTCGGGGAATCCCTCTCTTCATCATTGCCAGCCGGATGTCGTGTTGGCCATGGTCAAGAATCACATAAGTGATGATGGCTAGAATTCATTGAGTTGTATGATTAAGAGTAGTGTTCTTGATACATTTTTTCCTTCTATCAAAGCGTTTTTAGTCATTTCAATAGTATTTCTTGTCTAAATCACAACTATTTGATCAATGAGCTTTTAATAAACCTATTTAATGTTCTTGTATCCTTTGATGTCTTCTTGATATGTTTTGATGGTTTTGAAGGTAAAAAGGAACCTAAAGATGATTGGATCAAGCATTCAAGAACTCTAGAGGACCAGAGGAGCTATAAAGAGAAGATTAATGAGCTTTCTTGAGAAAGAAGTGGTTCAATGACGGAGAAGTCAACTAGAAGTGGCTACGTTATCTCAAGATAATCCCATAGGAAAAATTCTCGGCCCAATATGAAGAAATAAAGAGGGGCAACCCAAGTATCGGGTCCAACCACCGCTATGTCAAGTTGAAAAAAAATTGTCATGAGAAGAAGTCCATGGCTAGGAAGCCCTACCGCCGCCATCCCTAAACCTTGTTAACGAAGTTTACTTAGCCTACAAGGTTTACGAGACTCTTTCCTAATCGATTAAGGATGTTTTAGATGAGATTTTTTCCTCTAAATAGAGGGCATGACCCATTAGCTTCGTAAGACTGCACAAACACACAAATTATCTAAAACACCAACTCGAGTGGTTAGTCTATTTGAAGTAGGGGGTCTGCAGCTAATGAGATGTTGTCATCATGGATGGTGGTACCTTCCTTCTTCTCTATGTAGCTAGTCAAAATTGATTGTATTAGGATGTGATCTTTTTTATTGTTATGTGAATGAATGTTATGATTTTCATCATGCTTGTGTTTGTCTATTGCCTAATACTATGCATGGATGCTTTTAGTTTCGATGTTTATGTGATGGTAATTGATGGTTATATAGTATGATTGTTTTTGTATCATCAATGCTTATGGTTCTATTGTATGCTACTAAGTGCATTGCGCTTAGTATTACCTAGGCTGTCAAAAAATTACCATTTATGGATACGCCATTGATGCTCACGAGTATGGACAGAATGATCAACCATCTATGCTTTAAGTAGTAACAATGCTTGATTGTTAGATAATCGATGTTATAGACTATGGTTATGGTTCGTAGAAGCCCACAATTAACTATATGCTACCCTAACTTCTTTGTTCTTCGTTGATTAGGTAATGACATGAAGCGAAAGCATGCATTAGCTATTTAGATTTCTATCGCAAGAGGCTCATGCACGGTTGGAGAGTTGCCTTAGAGGAAGGGGTAGGGTGCTACATAGATGAACTATAGGTGCATGATATGAATGAGTCCTAGTATGCATGATAGTTTTCGAGCTCACTACCTTCTACAATAACGTATCTTTACTTTTGTGCATCTATAAATTAAAAACCCTAAAAAAATTTACTCTTCTTTCTTTGCTTGTTTGTTAAATTAAAGCCCCTAAGTGTCTTTCATGCTTCGTGTATGTCATGGATTATTGGTTTGAGTAGTTATGCATTACAAGACCTCGAGGAATACGACCCTAGGAAATCCTAGGATTTTATCACACATACTAAATCATTTCTCATTATTGTTTCTCGAGTTGTGATGCTCGCATTACGCTTATGGTGCAACTTCTCGTCTTCTTGGTATGGAGTAGGAGATTTGATGTTTTCATTATATTTAACTCTTGTGGTGTACTTATAATGTTTCTAGTGTGGTTTCTCATCTTTTTGGTCTGTTTCATGAGAGCTGTGTAACATCCCGTTTTGGTAAAACTCGTATTACGCTTGCTAGAAAGTTCGCGATTTAAAATCGAGCGTTTTGAAAGTATTTCGGCGAAAATTGGATTATCGATCGATCGGATAAGTATACATATTTATTTTATATATATATATTTATATATATATATATATTTATATATATATATATATATTTATATATATGGCGAGTTCTACGGTACCCTGGGTGAAATTCGGGGTACCGCATACCTTGAGTATGAAAACACTATCTAGACCTTGAATTGACCAATCTTTCGGACATGATACTATACTCTAACACTTAAAGATCAAAATCTAGGTGTTAACTCTCCCAATCTTATACTCCAAGATCAATTTAATTAGAAATAATAATCGACGGTTATGATTCATACAAATATAGGCACAAAAAGGAATGCACCATCTTAGGGTTTATAGATTATGATTTAGATAATTATGACCTAGGGTTCACTCATTAAGGTTTAGGGTATAATACCAGACACAAAAATCCTGGTAATTCGAGGTCTAGATAGAGTTTCCATACTCGAGGTATGCGGTACCCCGGATTTCACCCGGGGTACCATAGAAGCCACCATATATATATATATATGGCGAGTTCTACGGTACCCCGAGTGAAATCCGGTGTATCGCATACCTTGAGTATGAATACGCTATCCAGGCCTTGAATTGATTGATCTTTTGTACATGATATTATACTCTAACCCTTAAAGATCAAAATCTAGGTCTTAGTTCCCTAAAGCTTATACTCCAATATCAATTTAATTAGAAACAATAATCGACGGCTATGATTCGTCCAAATATAAGCAAAAAAAAGAATGCTCCATCTTAGGGTTTATAGTTTATGATTTAGATAATTAGGACCTAGGGTTCACTCAATAAGGATTAGGGTATAGTATCAAGCCCATATTTTTTTCTATTTCGAGGTCTAGATAGTGTTTTCACACTCAAGATATACGGTACCGTGGATTTCACCCGGGGTACCGTTGATAACGATGTAATTGCACATGTTTGCGCCCCTAGTTCTTATCCGTTTGAGGGGCATAGTCGTGTGTTTTGGCCTATTTTACGCCGGGTTGTGCTATTTTGTCATGTTTCAGGTCCCAGGTGTCAAAGGGAAGGCTAAGCGCGAGTTTCGGGGCATTCGGAAGTCATTTCGGTGAGCTGGAGCCAAAACACGGGCAGCCTAAGGCATTACACGGCCGTGTTCCTGTGGCCGTGCTTTTTATGCCGAGAGCAAATTCGGTTTGGCAATTTCAGTTGCAAACACGGGCACCAAAGCACGGCCGTGTTCCACCAAAGCACGGCCGTGTCCAACGCGAAGCACGGCCGTGTTTCTCCCAACTGCTGGCCGTGTAATTAAGCCTGGCCGAGGCACGGGCGGACTCAGGCAAAGCACGGCCGTGTCCTCGACCGTGCTTTGGCCACTGATGCTTTTAAGCAGATTTTCAGCCACAATTCAAGGGGATTCGAGTTTTTGAGAGATAGAACGATTCCTAGAGAGAGAAAGTGACGAGCAAGAGTTCCCAAGTGCCCTAGATTGATCTTCAACACCATTGGAGGCCAGTTTGAGCTTGGAGAAGTGCCGATCAACGTCCAGGAGCAGGAATCCATCCTTCACAGTATGAATTCCGCGTCTGATTCTGCTTTTGCTTTCTTCTCCATGGAGTAGTTCTCCCATTCATCTGGGTATGGAGAACCCTAGATTTGTATGTTAGGCTTTGATTGTATGAACCCAAGTACTGATTCTATGATTTGATTATATTCGATTGAGGTTTGAATGATTGAATGACTTGAATCCTGATCAAATTCCTGTTGTTTCTGCTTTGACCGAGAATGAGAATATCTGCCTAGGTTGATAGAGCATCCTTGATTGAAGGTAGGGAGTTGGTGACTTTAGTCGAGGAACCAACTCACTATTCTGTACCGGATTTACTCCGGTAGTGGAGGTTTTGTTCTTAGGGCCTCAATCTGTCTACTCCGGTGGAGGTTAGTCGCCCGCTAGAGATTCAGATTGAGAGGGTCTGAAGACCTTTAGTCGAGACTTCAGGCTGTTTAAGAATCTTCCGCAGTATAACTTTCATAGAAACTGAACTTGGTAATTACAATCCGGCATAACTGC